TTGTGTCCGGTCTCTTTCCTTCAACTCAGTCAAGTTAGAAATCCAGTTTAACTTCATAATACATATATATATATATATATCTGTGGTACATCTAGTTACAATGGTTACCATTATTACATGAAAATGATCAGTGTAAGTGTTAATATCACAATACATAGGAGTCTCTGGGTGGTGGTATAGGGATTTTTTTTCCTCCATTTCCGCATCAAGGCGTTTTCCAGCTGATATAGCATGTTTGATTGCTATTTCCTTTGAAGCACATGTCTCTACATACCATTACAAAAACATTCCCAAATCTTTCCTGTTCAGCTATCATGCAGTTAGTGTAAACGCTCGAGGCTCTTCCTTGACTTCCATGATGACCATCGTCGTGTATGAAGATAGGCTTAGAAATCACTGATGATATAATATTATTAATATGCATATAGTAAAATAGTCTAAATCTAAAAAAAAAAAAAAAATAGACAAACAGAGAGGCACCTAATATAACTGTAGAGGTTGATTATGTTACATGAAAATGATTTGGAAGCCTCACCACTTCCTTACAGTCCATGTCGCACGTTTGACGACTAGTCATCCTACAGCATAGTTCCCATTGATGATATGATCCGTCGTAATGCTGCCATGTCTAAATAACACTCCTCTTTCTTGCATGTTTTTCATAAGCTATCTAGTGTATAAGGACGACGATTTCCAAGTACTACTTTTAACAGCTCGATCACACAGGGATATTTACGCGCTATGCCCAACGACTTGAGCAGTATCTCTTCGCATGGAATAGCGTGAATACCTATTTCATCCTCTAGCTGCTTGAGGTATGCAACGATTGAATAAGTATGCCGTGGAAGCAGCTCGCGTACACGCGATTTGTATCCTTTTCCAAATAGAGATCCTTCTTGATTAAGTTACGTACTGTTGCCTGGGTTACGTGGACGACCTTTGTGTTAATTAATTCTCGTATGTTACAAGACGCCTCTCTTTGCTTACCACGGTTGGAGTATGTTTTGTTTACGTCTCTTTTCAGATGGTCCTGATACCCCAACTTGATCTATATTCCTTTCTTTTCTAATGCCATTAAGTACAAAAGATATACCCATCTTCGAAATCCCAGATACCCGATATAAAATATCTTAAGTGTATGGACATTTTACGTCGGAAAGAAATGTTACGTACATTTCTCAAAAGCGATAAGTTTTCGGTGGAATCATCGAAATTCCAAAAATGTCAAAGTGTAGTTTTGATACATTCCATTCCACTACGATTTTATATCGGCTGTGGATATTACGTGACTTTCTGAGTTGCATATTCAGTTGTTTTTTTTTACCATAATGCACTCAACCCTTTATATATGTATTAGGTGACATTTTCTCACTCTTTTTTGCTGAGGTTTTCGATTCTTTTTTTTCTGCCGGTATAATATGTTTATCTACCTTAGCATTTTTGCGAGATTCTTAAACTAAAACTTTTTAATGTGTTTATAGAATATTAAAAATTAACATAATTTGATCAAGGTAAATTTGTTCTTCAATGAAACTTGAGACAACCGAACAATTTAAAAGGAATTACAGGTATTAATTATGATGCCACATTTGGTGCAAATCTATGGACCAGTACCAAGACATTTTTTTATGCACTGCTGATTTCAGTAGCTCGTCGAAAAATTTACAGAAAAAAAGAGAGGTTTTTAATAATAATATTGAATAAAATATCTCGTCACAAAACGTAAAGTATGAAGAAATGTTTTTTAGAATATTATTGTGCGAAGTAGTTCATAGTTAAGCTTACAGAATAAAGTGAAGTTTTTAGAATATTATTGTGCGAAGTAGTTCATAGTTAAGCTTACAGAATAAAGTGAAGTTTTTAGAATATTATTGTGTGAAGTAGCTCATAGTTAAGCTTACAGAATAAAGTGATTTTTTTAGAATATTATTGTGTGAAGTAGCTCATAGTTAAGCTTACAGAAGAAAGTGAAGTTTCTAGAATATTATTGTCTGAAGTAGCTCATAGTTAAGCTTACAGACTAAAGTGAATTTTTTAGAATATTATTGTGCGAAGTAGTTCATAGTTAAGCTTACAGAATAAAATGAAGTTTTTAGAATATTATTGTGTGAAGTAGTTCATAGTTAAGCTTACAGAATAAAGTGAAGTTTCTAGAATATTATTGTGCGAAGTAGTTCATAGTTAAGCTTACAGAATAAAGTGAAGTTTTTAGAATATTATTGTGTGAAGTAGTTCATAGTTAAGCTTACAGAATAAAGTGAAGTTTTTAGAATATTATTGTGTGAAGTAGTTCATAGTTAAGCTTACAGAATAAAGTGATTTTTTTAGAATATTATTGTGTGAAGTAGCTCATAGTTAAGCTTACAGAATAAAGTGAAGTTTTTAAAATATTATTGTGCGAAGTAGTTCATAGTTAAGCTTACAGAATAAAGTGAAGTTTTTAAAATATTATTGTGTAAAGTAGTTCATAGTTAAGCTTACAGAATAAAGTGAAGTTTTTCGAATATTATTGTGCGAAG